CCAGTGTCACAACAAAATAAGACATCAAAAATGCTCATCTGACCGCAATTAGACGCCTAAAACCCCTGAGCTTACGGGGGATCTGCCCCCGGGACCCAACTAAGCGCCCTAAGGCGGGCCCTTGATACTCATCTGACCGTAATTTAGTGCCTAAAACCCTTGAGCTTCTGGGGACTCCGCCCGCTGGACCTCACGCCAATAAGTGTCCTGCCAGTGTCACAAATAAGGTATAAAAAAATATGTTCATCTGACCGTAATCAAATGCCTAAAACCCCTGAGATTTCGGGGTTTCCACACCCTCGACCCCACCAGGGGCTCTAAGGCGGGACCCTGAATGCTTACCTGACCGTAATTTATTGCCTTAAACCCCTGAGTTTCCGGGGGCGGACAAGGTATCAAAATATGTTCATCTGACCGCAGGCGCGTGACGAGGGGGCGGTGGGGGCGGCCCCACAAAAAAAAAAGCCGGCCAAAAAAAGAGAGGATAAAAAAGGAAGAGGACGTAGGATGAAAAAGGAGCAGAAAAAAAAACATTTTTTGAAATTTAGACAAGGATTAAGAGTCGAAAACGGTACACCGATCGTCTTCTTTCTCTAATAATTTAATGAAATGTTAAAGCCTTCGCGCAGGAGGGGGGGGGACTGAACTGAGACAAGGATTAAGAGACGAGAACGTTACAGCGAATCGTCTTCTTTCTTAAATAATTTTAATGAAACGTAAAAGCTTCTGCGCTTCGCGCAGGAGGTGGGGGAACTGAATTTAGACAATGATTAAGAGTTGAGAACGGTACAACGAATCGTCTTGTTTCTCTAATAATTAAATGAAATGTCAAAGCTTCCGCGCTTCGCGCAGGAGGTGGGGGAACTGAATTCAGACGAGGATTAAGAGTCGAGAACGGGACAACGAATCGTCGTCTTTCTCTAATGATTTAATGAAACGTAAAAGCCCTATTTCGGGACCACCCTCCCCCAAAAAGTCCTCTTACCCCCCCCCCTCCCGCTTATTCAGCGGCTGGCTGAGCCGTTGCGATTTTTTGGGACCCCCCCCCCCCGAAAAAATTGTCCTCCCCCCCCCCCCCCCCCCCCCCCCCCCCCCCCCCCCCGCTTATTCAGCGGCTGGCTGAGTCGTTGCGATTTTTTTTCGGGGACCCATAATTTCAAATTTGGGCCCCCCCTAAGAAATCCTGGATCCGCGCCTGATGACAAGGTCTTCCCGGCGCGGATCCAGGAGGGGGGGGGGGCAGAGGGCCTTGACCTCCTAATCGCCAACAAAAAATGAAGAGAGAGAGAGAGAGAGAGAGAAGGTAAAGTGGAGAGTAAGGGAAAGGAAGAAGAGGAAGAAGAAAAGGGGGAAAAGAAGGAGATAAGGGGCGAAAGGCCTTCGCCACCCCCACCCCTCAGCAAAGAGAGAGAAAGAGAGGGAGAGAGAGAGAGGGAGAGAGACGAGGAAGGGAAGCGAAAGGGAAAGAGGAGAGAAAGGGACAGGAAAAAAAAAGGGAAGAAAAGAAAAGGAATTAGGGAAGATCAATTGCGATTTTTTATTGGTTCTTCTATCATCATTGTACAAATGTATTTATATATTCATTTATTTATTCCTGTTTGATAACAAAAATATGAATATAAACTCATAACAGTAACAAAATTAAATGTAGAACGAAACTATCTTGCTTGGAGCAAGAAGCGCAAAAATGATCATGCATTTGCATGTACAAGTAAGTGTATCATTAATATCATTCATATTGTTTAATTACATCTTGTGAAATAGTATGCATTCAAGCTTTGGGGATTTTTGTTGGTGTATTTGTATGAAAGAAAGCGTTTGGAGCTTATAATGCACATGTTGCAATTTCAGGTGCTACTTAGGGTTCAAATATGGGTTACGCACGGCCAAGCATTAGTGTAGGAAATCTTCAAATGTTAATAAGGTATATGACTAAATTATTTGTCTGTTGCCTTACGAAAAGAATTATATTTAGTCAGGGCCTGAATTTAGTCGCAAAACAATCATTGTATTAAAAGGAAAAAAACATATTTGATGACATTCGAAATTCCCTAACAACCAATACGATTGGAGAGCGTGTACTCGTTTTGTTTTTCTTCAAAATTTACTCAACTATAAATAGCTGGCCCGGATACTTGAACCTCTCACAAAACGCAAGTATAGGCCTGATGTGTCGTCAGGGGCGTCGCTAGACCTTTTTCAGTGTGTGTGTGGGGGGGGGGGGGGGTATAGAGGCCAACGATTACCGACAAAACAAGCCACCAATAATTACGGACAAAATTAATTGTCCCAATCTCTACAAATTTAACCCTATATACCCGGGGCCGACGGCTAAATTGTTATGCACAAATGGTCATTTTCGTCAACGACATAAATATACAAATTATTTCGTCAACTTAGTAAGCATCATAGCTATATATTTTAATGCAGGCGCGTAGCTATTTTAGGGAGGGGCGGTATTGAGCAAGCGAATCATTTAAAGAGCGCGCAAAGCGCTCCCTAGGTGGGGGAGGGGATGGGTGAAAGGCCTCCCTAGCTTAGACGTTTCATTAAATTATTATGAAAAGAAGACGATTTGTTGTACCTGAGCCCCCCAATATATATATATTTTTTTTGGGGGGGTGCCCTCCAAGCCCCCCCCCCCCAGTTCCTAAGCCTATGTACAGGTCAATGAAGTCTACTTTTTGAAACTTAAAGGTCCGATTTTTTTTTTTTTTTTTTTTTTTCTAATTTGCTACCAGTGATTTACAGATGTTGCTGAAACTGGCCTAATTGGCCGGGATTTTTTCCTCACTTTTTAGTAAATTATACTTTTTATGCGTTTGTTGGAGAATGACAAATATCAAAATTTACAGTCAGGCAAGAAATGTGCCTATTTAATATTTAGAGGCCTACATGTAAGGTCCCGTGGAACGGCGGGCTTGGGGGCTCAATCTGGGATGCTAATCTGACCTTAACTTGAATGCCTAAAACCCCTGCGCTTCCGGGGGCTCCACCCTTTGGACCATACGCCATTTAGGTATTAAAATATGCTCATCTAACCGTAATTAAATGCCCCTACACCCCGTGAGCATCTGCCAATTTGTGCTACGCTCTACCCTATCTTAAATACTCTAGCCTCCCCCACTCACTTTGAACCCCATTTTTAATCACTTTTATTTCCCATTTAACTCCTTCACTTGGGTCGGGGCGTGTATCACGAGTATATATATATATATATATTTATACTAGTAGGGGAAAGTGGAGCATAACGGACCCGGGGGGCAAAATGGAACTTTGAAATTAGCATATGTTAAAAAAGGTCGCCCGCTGTGCAAATTCTTTGAAGAAGAGAAGATGCCAAACTAACTTCAGCACTGAATTTTCATCCGGTTACATCGAGGCACATCGGAGTAAGATCCCATCCAAAAAATTACAGCCTCATGATCTAAGATAAGGGGGTGTTCATATGGCTGAAATTTGGTAATTTTGGTATCGATTCTAATCAAATATTTGTATATATTAATCATAAAGATATCAACGTTAGACTCGCCTGTTTGCATGCCAACTATGCTTCAAGGATTTTCTACGCAAACTTTTATTAAAAAATATGTCATTGGGGCAAAATGGACCATATAGGTACGGGGCAAAATGGAACAGCTAGGGTTCCGTTTTGCCCCAATTGAAAATAACATAACAGGGTTCCGTTTTGCCCCAGTTGAAAATAACATATCTTGTTTCCGCCCTTTTTATAGGGGCCTGTTTACCAATGTTTCATGTTCCATTCTGAAAGTACAGTTGGTTCATAAAACAATCGATAGTTGTTCTAATTTCCCAGCCAGTTTTAGATGTATAAGTTAGCTGAATTCAAAGTATGTGCCTAGCAGTTGGTTTACGTGACTAGTGGTTCTATCAGAACGAAAATTTGACCCAGATTACAGTCTAAGAAATTCAGAGTGTAGTGCACATTTTACAAGTCTACATCTTCTACTTTTAAACCAGGCTTTATTACGATTACCTTTCCAGTTTTGCCCCATAAATGTTTGAAACTACTATAGGCTTTCATTGTGCAGCTCTGCCCACCAAGTATGCTTAAAGTTACTTTAGGTACATTACTCAATATAGAACGTTAGAGTTCTGATGGGGCAATGCATGGATCCGCAGATCCATTTTACCCCAGGGGGAGTGCCATTATGCCCCAGGGGTGGGGCAAGTTGGATTTTTCATTTGTAAAATTCGTTTCGAGTTTCTCTGCAATTTTACCGTGGTTTTTGTCGGTTTTTCGTTGACATAATAAAGTGCATACAACATCTATCTGAAACTGTTATTTTTACTGTTTTTTTGTCGTTGATGACGTCATATTGCAAGTTTGAAATTAAGTGTTCCATTATGCCCCACTTTCCCCCAGTGAGTTGGTTGAAGTACGAAGCCACGTTTAAAAGTATAATCGATTACAACAGTTGTGGGGCCGATATTACGAGTATGCCTTCATAGAATAAAAGTTTTAAAGAAAATATTCACTTCTACTTTCAAAAGGACTGGCCATTTGCTTTAAACAAATTGTAGAGTAATTATTATGTAATTTCTAGAAAAAATGTCAACCACATGATTTACAATGAGTCTAAATACATTGATTTGCCGAGTTGCTTCCTTTTATCAAATATACAAGTAAAACAATGGGGGGACAGAATGTGCGGATAGCATACCGCACGGATCGTCGATCCGTGCGAGTCACGGACGATCCGTGCGAGCAGAAAACCCGCATATTATGTCCGACGGACAAACGAAACTGGTAGGACAAACGGCGCGGTCACACCGGTCGCTGAATAAGCGGGGGGGGGGGGGGGGTTTAGGGGGGTTTATACACATAAAAATACCAAAGGGGGGGTTTAACCCCCCAAACACCCCCCCCCCCCCTGCGTACGCGCCTGCTACTAACACTTATTAAGTATATATCTCTATGAGATATTTTAATTTTGTTGTAATTACCATAGACTCTACGTCATGTAATGTACATTGTCGATTAGACTCTATGTCATAATTCAAGATGGCGCTGCCCATGAAGCAACTTGTGTGCCGATTTCGTAATATTTTACCCACTGTTGTACGCTCCTTGAGCACCAAACAATTATTCACAAATCATTTTCATTCGATTAGCAGTAATAATCACATGAAAATAACCCACTCAACGGTTGTCTTACGTCATATTCATGCTGCAATTGGTACGTATTTCTATTTTTTCGTGTCAATCCTGATGGATCATTTTCACCCTGTCCCAGCCATAGTAATTGCCGTACGGTTGGACGAGACTTGCACACATACCTAACATACATGTAGCTGCATTACTACATCCGAGCGCGAGCTGACTGTGTATTAAAAGCTGTGCTATTGATTCTCTTCATTTCAAACACCGCTGTACAAAACTCAACTGAGAGCAAGAACTTAACTTCCCAGAAAGGTGTTGTTAGATCTAGGTCTACTCGTTAGTTGCGGATCCAAGGGGGGGGGGGGGGGGGGGGGGGGGCTCAATATTTCAAACACCACTGTTACCACTCCAGCAAAGCATAGAGAGTCAATGCCAAAGCGTGTATTGACCTCTAGCACTGCATGCTTGCTGTGACGCGGGTATTTTTAGACCCATACACAAATAGGCTACACACATAATACACACACACCACACAATATTGCATAGACTGTACACAATCATGTCGATGCAGCTGTAAGCAAAGTTTGACACTAGACTTACAATCTGAATTTTTAAATTATTCTTTTTAACATCAGTAAGTTAAAAAAAAAAGGTGTATTTTACTGCTATTTAGGTGTCATCAATTGTCACTAAAGTACTGATTTTGAGTTGAGTTTTGTACAGTGGTGTTTGAAATATTGAGAATCAAAAGCACAGCTGTCACAGCCAGGATAGTAATGCTCCTATGTGTGGCTGTTACTACTGTACAAAACTCATTTGATTTCACTAAAAATAGGTAGTTAGTGACGATTGATGACACCTAAATAGCAGTACCGGTCAAATACAATTTTTACAACTTTCTGACACTGACGTTAGAAAGAATAATTTTATAAATTCAAATTGTGAGTCTACTGTCAAACTTATCGATCAGCAGCATCGGCATGATTGTGTGCATTTGTGTGTTGTGAGTGTATTGACTATTCATGTATTCCAATGCTGCCTATTAACACGTAGTGCAGTGCTAAAGCTCAATATGCATTAGCATTGACTCTCTATGCTTTGCTGGAGTGAAAGCTTGCAGTGTCAGATAACTTTCAAATTCGGAAGTAATTAGCATATTTTCGTACTCTCAACTTATACTTGCCGTTGTTAGTTTAGCAGCGAGGATTTTGATCTCTAGAGTGTATTAAAAGTTGAAATATGATTAAATGTATGCCTTTTAAGTTTGGGTTAGACACTTTGGACATTTGAAAGGGACACTCCAGCAAACTTAACTTACAGTGTAACTCATATATTGGCTGAGCCTGTGAACATTTCTTTTGAAAAATGTAAATGAATAATATTTCTTATTTTGAATATCATTTAATATGGATTAAAGCTTTATTTTTTATTTATTTTCAATGCACAGCTGGTGGACTAAGGCATGGTGATTATGAATATGAAGAACCAAAGTCTCCTGAGGACGTGTAAGTTAGTGAAGGAATATGATATTAAGCAATCAATGCTTAATTAAGAGTAGATATTAATGTAATTAAAAAAAGTGGGCCTTCCAAAATGCCTGTCTTTTTTTTTTTATTCAACAAAATGAAAGCTGAATTTGTTACATATCAATCAAAATATTTGTAAAAATATTCACTGGTATAGTTATTTTTAAGCCTGTGAATGCCTTTGTTCAAGTTCAAGTTCTTTTTTTTTTTTGGAGAAGGCCAATACATTTGCTTTTATGAATTGTCAAAAGTATGTTCATGTATATGATGAAAAATCTTATATCAAATATCACTTTGGTGGTGTTGAAACTTGAAAGGTGGCAGAAGATAAACATAACAAATAAATGCCAGTTTTCAATATTCTTAAAATCCCACATCATTTTGAATCTATTTTTATTTTTTAGTCGAGCTCAAATGATTTTCCAGCAAGATTTAGTTTGTTTAAAAGTTTTGTTTGGTTTGACTGATGCAATCATATTGAATGTATGAGTCCAGGGAGCATATTATTTGATCCAACTGTATGAAGGCATACATATATTTATATATCATGAAAGAAAAATGTAGAAATTTTGAATCATGTTATAGTTGAATGATGATGAACTCCCACTTGTATGAATATTGAAGTTTGGACTAATATCATCTTTTGTGTCGCCCGTTGTCCTTCCAGAGTAACCATCACCTATGTGACGAGAGATGATGAGAGAATAGAAGTGAAAGGAAAAGTTGGTGACAATGTCATGTATCTAGCTCACAGACATGCTATTGAAGTAGAAGGTAAGTTCATTATACAGTGCCTTTGTAAGTCTGAGAATAATTTACTTGTGTTAACCCATTAGCAACTAAACAGCTCCTCCTTTTACTCACTGTAAATGGTATCCATTCTAGGGTCTACCATGATAATGTTATATGTGCGTAGTCCTTACGATGTCTCCAGTAGGATTCTGCATAGAAACATAGCGCATGTTTCATATTGTTCAGAACAATGTCAAAATGAGAGCAATATTGCGACATCTTCCAGTGTGTAATAGGCCATTTTTACAAAATGTCTAGTTGCTAATGGGTTAATAAGTGTCATGTACGAACGAGAGAGTCACATGGAAACAAGGAGACTGGCAGGTGGATGGAAAAGGGGAGGGATGAGAAACTGAGAACCAGGATACAATTTGGCTTTATGTCTAGATCATCAGATATTCTGTTTTTGTTATTTTTACCATCAGTCTTGTTCATTCATTTCTTCATACCTTTATTTTGTATACCGGTATGTACCTTTTATAATCAGGGGTGTTATGGCAATAGGGGAATAGTCAGGAGTGCATCTGAAAATTGCACCCCGCCCCCTCCCCATTCCAAAAAAAAGTTTTATTATGTTATGTGTCAAACTTGAAGCATGATGAAAAATTCTTACTTTGTAAGGTGGAAGGGGAACAGAATTAAAGAAAAAATAGTTTGATTGAAAAGTTTTGCATCCAAAAATATTTCAAAATATCAATGTATACTCAGTTCCTTTTGGGGTAAAGTTTTCAAAAGGTTTTGGAAAAAAATTAAGAGTAAAATAGAATGAGGAGCAAATAACTTCACTAGTTTTTAAGTTGAATTGTCTGTTTTCTTTTGCTTTCTAACAGGTGCTTGTGAGGCTTCTCTTGCATGTTGTACCTGTCATGTTGTCCTACAAGATTCATATTATGATATACTACCAGAATCAACAGAAGAGTGAGTTCACATAATTTCTCTTTTATAAGTCAGTTTCATGTATGAGTTCTTATTGTTAACATTTTTGTTAATGTATAGCATACTTTTGTGTGTTAGACAAATTGTCAATTGCCCTTTTTTTAATATACACCATATATACCCTATTTCTGTTCTATGATAAATAAGTTTTGATAAGACAAAATGGCAAATTTCCTATAGAAGGTATAAGGTGTTTCCCTAGACCAATATTTCATCCAGCGTAAATATATGAATGTTGGTTGGTTTTTCTAGATATCCCAACATTGAACAACTGTAAATTGTATACAGTGGGCTGGAGGGTGCACCAATGATGCACCCGCAAGCCTACTGTATATCTACATCACCACACAAGCCGATACTTAAAAGCAGCATCTAACTTTTAATTGATATTTCGTCACAGTCCAAAAGATGTTGAATGTTAGTTTTTATTTGTTTGTGTCGTACATAAAGTTCTGTTATGATATATTTGAATGCCAAAATAACATATTTTGTGAATCAAGCTACTTGAGAACAGAAAATGACTAAGGTGGTATTCTTGGTAACAGAAATGCAGTTAATATGACGTTATTTTATATTTTATTTTTCTTCAGAGAGGAAGACATGTTGGACCTTGCCCCTTTTCTGACGTCAACATCAAGATTAAGTAAGTGTAGTATAATTGCTTATGTCAAGTAGAATATTTCTTCACATTTTGAATCAAATGAATGAATGAACACAACTAAAAAGATATGTGGTGATTGATGCTGGAGTGTTGCAACCCAATACCCCACCACCCAAATTATAATTCCTCAAGTCAGACTTGTTATGTTAAAATGCCCTATAAGTTAATTTTTTGCTTGCCTGTCTTTAATAGTTCTTGGACATGGTCAAATGGGCAAGTATTGAACCTCTAAAGAAAAGTGGATTATGCTGAGATGAGAGAGAAAGAGAGAGAGCGAGAGATAGCGAGAGAGAGAGACAGAGAGAGACAGAGAGACATAGAGTTACGGAGAGTGGATGTGAAAGACAGCTCGGCATATTTTACTATTTGATAGCAAAACAAAGGATGAAGCAGTCCTTGAAAAGTGGAAATTGTGATATTGGGGACTTTTAGATTTGTATGACTACAAAGTGGACTGCTACGTCTGACGTCCTTATAAGGTACTGGCAGTGCCTTAAAAGGACATCACAGTGCCTATAAGGACGTCACACATAGCAGTCCACTATGTAGTCGTACAAATCTAAAAGTCCCTAATGACAAATCATGAACAATGAATGTATTTTTATGTATTTCTCCTTGAGAACATACTTAGCTTACATTAGTTGTCCTTGATTTCCTCCTCTCACCCGTTACAGGTTGTCAAATTATTTTAAGCAAAGAGCTGGACGGCATGGTGGTGCAGCTCCCAAAAGCGACTAGGAATTTCTATGTAGACGGACATGTACCCCAGCCCCACTGACCTTCACTGCTCAGATGACCTTGAGGCTGATGCGTGGGGTCATGCAGGGTCTCATGAAACAGGGTCAGAGAGGAAGAGTTTTTTATGTTGAACATTCTTCATGATGACTGTTGGAACGATGATATTGTGAGTTTCTTGGTTGGAAGAAGAACCTGTTGGAAACATCTAAGTACTGCATGCATCCTGTTCGTTCTTTTGACAATACTTGAACAGTGTGGAACCTCAGTCATGTGCAAGAAAGTTGAAGGATGTTTTCCTGTAATGAACAAGCTGTATTATGTACCTACATGTATAATAATCATGGTGGTGTTACACAAATGGGTTTGATATTATATCGACTACTGCAAAATGTCTACAGGGGCCATATTAAAGTCAATCTTAAATGATAATAATAATATTTAGCTTTTATATAGCGCTTAATACAATGTCTCTAAGCGCTTTACAAATATACTATTACCCCGGTCATTGGATTCAGTGCTTGCCCGCACACACTGTGTGCACAATCTGGGGAGCATTCCAGCCAGGCGTTACTTGATGCTCGAAAACTGTTTGACCAACAATGACGGTCGCATCCTACCTAAAGGGATAGTTAAGATTTTTTCCCCCAATGATATTTCAGTCACACCACTAAACCATTTTCATTCAGTCTAACTTTAATGTCAGTCTAGTGTCAGTCTCGCTGGTGTGACTGAGGAATGAATACCTGATTAATGTGAATAAAAATGTGATGCAATAACATATATGGTAAAACAAGTAGTAAATTTGTAATATAATATTTACTGTCTACCCCATATTCAGGTTGGATAATCTTGGATTTCCCTCAAATTGGGGAAATCCAATCAAATGATTTGCTTCTGGCTATCTGTGTGCTACTCAAGGGTAATGGGTACAGTGTATATATAGTCTCAAGAATATAAAAGGAGAATGCATACACAATGTTAGTTTTTATTGTTGCTCATTTACGTATGCATCTGTTTTTACAATTTACAGTGGATGAATGCATAAATTTAGCTCCGCTTTCAAACTGATATTTCAACAATTGATGAGCACAAAAATATACCACCGGGTAATTATTGTCAGCCTCTGAAAGAATTATTGGTAGCACCTTGCTAATAGAGATAGTGAATCGAGGCACTTGCTCTCTCGTTTGTATCTTTTGTTAGAATAAGTTTGTTCCTGAGTATGGTAAGCGTAAGAATTTGAGAAGCATCTTGGACTATGAAGTACAAACAGTACCTGTTTTCTAGTGTCGTTCAAAGTGCAGTGCTGTTTTCAATCTACCAGTATTTACATGCATGCTTGTATTATGGCCAGTATAAATGATTTTTATATTCTTACCCCAAGCTCATTGCCAGAATATTTTCTTTGGAAAAATGTTGCTAATTCTTTATTCTCAATAAATCATCAAAGTAAATACCAGGTATGTACTTCAATTTCTGAATAACATCTAATTATTCTTAACAGAAATACTTGTTTGATCTTTTTTGGTGTCATTAAATACAATGATGTCATTATGAAATTAATCAATAAAGCTATTATTGTGCAATGACTGTAAATACATTGATAGTATACTAATAGATGTACAACATGCAGTAAGCTAAAGTACACCAATGATAAATACATGTAATTGTACTGCATTTGAAGCGCACAAATAATATTCTTGTATACATGATTATATTAAACCTATACATGTACTAATTGGTTTTTAAGAGAGTTTATTTCTTTTGTTGTGAATGCTTTATCATCTTCCAGAAATTTGTTTTTCAAGGAATCGAAACAAGGGTTTGTAAATATTTTTGTTTTTTAAACGCTCATGTTGCAGGTGTGGTGTAACAATGGAATAAACTGTACATGTACATGTATGTCTTTATTCAGAATATCAGAAGTATGGCATTGTGAGGAAAACAGATACAGAGGTTTATTTTATGAAGTAAAAATATAGCAAAAATCAATAATTTTTACCATACATTTGGTTCAAGAACAAATGACTTGACTATTTTTAGCTTTTTTTTCTCATGAGATACTATATGTGATTATCACACACATCTATGATAAGTACTATCACAGTTCTAGGCCTATTCGTTTTAAAAAACTGCTCCTGTACCTTATATGATGACACTGAGATAATGCACCCGCCTATTCATACGTGCATGATTTAACCTTGTTTCTCAAGCAGTAAACTCGTCTTAAATCTCTACCAAATGGGTGAATATGAGGATATAAAAAGAAATCAACGACTGGATAATGTTGCTTCGTTATTCTCCATTCAAATGAAAACAGAAAATCCATCAAATATACTCATTAACAACAAAAATTCTCAGCTGTGACAGGATAGCATTTACGTAGGGATATCACTGCCATTCACTCTCACTGAGCCCACGAGTCCCGTTCGTGACGTCACGGATAGAGGCCCGACTCCACATGCACTTCCGAGTTTCAGACTTAGATATTTTGGTAGAGTTTACTCGCATAAATTCACCATTCTAAACTTGTTTATGTCAGTTGGACACCATTTAGTGTTATTCTGGGGGTTAAAAGCTTCCTATTGATGTAATTATCTCAATATTTGAGATTGTCTTAGAATATCAGCTTTAATATTATCAAGTCACCAAATTTCCTTCACTAAGTAAACCTCTTGGATTAAATATCTTAGCTGAATTATGATTTTAGACAAAGGTTCAGTTACTCTTGTTCTTGTGTTTGAGAAACTTTGATCATTGCTGTTAATGAGAAGAGTTAAACATAAATTGGGTGCTACCTGCTAGCTAGCCAAGAAGACTTTTGGGAGTGCATCACAACCCCAAGAGTTTTAAGAATATTTTACAGAATAATCTCTCAACAAAATATATTGGTTCTGGTGTATAGGTGTGTCACCTATGACAGAACTTTTAATATTTCTTATTAAATAAACATATGTGTCTTATGCAATGCATTTTTAATGAAATATATGTGGAAGAATAAATACGAAAAGATTTGATAAGGAATTATATGTGCTTTACAGGTGTCGTTTCTGTATGGAAAGTATTTTTTTCATGTAAGTCATCAAGTGAGCTTGACATAATCCATTTTGAACGATGTAATTTATGATTTAGTGCCTTCCTTCTAACTGCTCCTGAAAAAGAGAGAGAGGGGGGAGCAGGGGGTGAAGAGAAGAGGGAGAGAGAGACTTTTTTTTTTCTATTTTTAATTTTTCCATTTTTTTCTTTTTTCTCTTTAGCTTTATTTCCTCTTTATTTTCCTTCTTTAATTTTTCTTGTAGAAACCGGGTAATTGGAATATTAATAAACCTAGACAATAGGGTTTTTGATCTAGCTCTACAAATATTGTCAAAAATTAAATGATCACTTTAATAACTCTTCAAAAATTGAATGTAACTATGACAAGGAAGAGATGTGCATACTAATTTGTAAAACGTATGTCCTTTATTAGTTCAATAGCATTTCTCGATACACGGTTTATATTATGTTTCATTCCATATACATTTTTTATTACAATCACTCGGACCAAAGAGTTAGTAGCACTCGACGTTGATCTTTGCATAATCTGCTTGCGTGCGACGTGCGCCTACGTCATCACTGCACTAGCTGTATACTGCTAGCTGAGAATACGAATATTCTGATCTTGGTGAAGTTATCCCCATGCCGATACTGCTTTCTAATTTTGTGACAGAAAGATTCTACCATTTTTGTCATTTACATGCAAGAATAAGTTTCTCTTTACGGGATTTGATCAGTCCTGAGTGCTATAAACGCTTGAGCTTTGTACAAAAGAGAGAATGGTGCGGGTAATTTTCTTGCATCCTGATTTGGGCATTGGAGGAGCCGAGCGCCTGGTCGTTGATGCCGCTCTAGCCCTGCAGACCCGGCGACATTCTGTGAAGATCTACACTGCCCACCACGACCCCACTCATTGTTTCAAGGAAACAAGTGATGGCACTCTTGAGGTAATCAAAGAGTTTAATTTTTAATTGGATTTTGAAAGAGAGTGTGATAAGAACAATTATGTAAAGTGAACAATATTTGACTTGATGAATTTTGAGGAAATCAGTCCCAGATACTGATTTTTATGTAAGTGAAAATGTAATAAAACTAAAAGGAGAGATAGATCAAGAGAGAGAGAGAGAGAGAGAGAGGGGAGGGGGGGGGGGCGGCGGGTCGGTTGCTCTCATCATATGTGTCGTGGAAACTTTAAACTGAAAGAGTATTTACACTGACGTTAAATTTAAAATATATGGCATTATTATTGTCATGTTAAATAGACTAGACTCTATATCTAATCCCTCACTTCAGACTTTTGACTGTTCATTTTTGACGTGACAAATGAGAAGATTTTCATTCCAATCGTTGTTTTTTTCAATGTGAGAAGAGAAGTGAAGACTATTTATAACTGTTTATTTTCATGAATTACCTTTTCAGGTCGTGACAGCAGGAGACTGGCTTCCAAGAAATATTTTTGGATCCTGCTACGCACTCTGCGCTTACATCCGGATGATATATGTCGCCCTCTATTTACTCCTGTTCAGCCGTGAACCGTATGATGTCATCATCTGCGATCAGATTTCTGCCTGTATTCCGTTCCTGAAGCTGGGTAGATCCAAAGTGAGTTTGATTTTAAATCAACAAAAGGCTTTCATATCGTGATTGTTTTTTTGTTTGATGTAGTTTTCACTTTTTTGTTATATGTCCATCATAATGTTTCTATATTTCTTTTCTTTGAAATAAATTTATAGCAGTGAAAAGATATACTGTATTCATGATGTAGCCTTCTAGGAGACTTATGAATTATGACTTAGTTTTGCTTTATTGAGACTCCAATGTTTTGTGTGATCGTTGATATCTATTATGAATATGAATCCAAAAGGGACTTACAAAATCATATCTTTGTAATAGGTGCTGTTCTATTGTCACTTTCCGGATCTGTTGCTGACGAAGCGACAGAGTTTCCTCAAGAAATTGTACCGAACTCCTATAGACTGGCTGGAGGAGAAGACTACCGGCATGTCCGATTGCATAGTGGTCAACAGTAACTTCACTGGTAGGTATTTTTTATTTTTTACTTCAAAGCATTCCAAAGAGTGTGAATAGAAAGGCTTTTTTCCTCCCAATTTGTTTAAACTCATTAAGACTTTTTGAGGTACTATATAGTAAAAGCATTTTTGTCAGGCTATTGTTAAGGTACCTATTCTTTCTCTCTCCTTTTCTCAATCTCCTTTTTTCCACTCCATGTTGTATTTGTGAGACTCTGTGATTAATTTTCTGGGGGGGGGGGGGGTTGTCTTTTTGCTTCTTTCTTGCTTTCATGTAAGCTTTAGTTTGATTGTGTGATGGTCTTAACGTTACCTAAACTTTCATTGAGATATATGTCAAAAAAAGACCTTGTAAACAAGCGTCTCTAACTATTATGCATTTTGTGTTCAGGACAAGTCTTTTCGTGCCACTACATTTGGCTAAGCTACAAAAGAGCAGAGAAGGTTAAGAATATTGTTGACTGCCAACAATAATGCTGTGTATTATCAAGGATAGAAAAAACAGCCTTGATTCTTGTGGGCAACGAATGGTACAAAATAATAATTGGATATTGGGAGGGGGAGGGAGAAAGAGTATCGTATAATGGATCTCTACATATGAATGGCTATTGATTGGTAACAGAAGTACCAGCATAATTCATATTGGTAGAAACCAAAATTGATGAAAAGACTGGATTTCCAATGTTTTGCATAGACAGGGTATTAGAAAGCCAGTAGTTGAACAGCGCATATGACTAGGTACCATAGCAGATATAACTGCCTAAATTCTACCATACCGGTATTATGAAATGTATTTGCATGAGGAGAAGCTTCTATTTGACAAATTAAAAAGGGGCTTATACATTACAGTTTGTATTATGAAACACCAATTTTATCAAGATGAACATAGTATATTTGTAAAGCGCTTAGAGACATTTGTATTAAGCGCCATACACAAATTAAATATTATTATTATTATTAAAGAGATCAAGAACCATTAGTTTCACCTTGTCTCAAATCATAATTTGTATTACATGGTGCATAACATGGCATTGTACAGGTTAACCTGTTAGATACTAAATTGATAAAACACACATTTCATGATAGCCTCCAGTACAAATAATCTTGGGTGCGATGGCTCAGTAGTAAATCAGTGGTCTCGTAACTGGGAGGTCCTGGGCTTGAAACCAATTTGATGCACCAGTGCTCTTTGGTTAGGCATTGATCCTCATTACCAAGTCCCTTGGAGAGGACTTACAGCCATCAATCTCCTGGTTGCTTACTTACAAGCATACACATGCTTTCTTAATAGCAGTCAGGCTACACAAACATAGCAACCAACCTTTAACAATGGAAATTAAGCAACATTTAAGGAGGCGTGATAGCTCAGTTGGTAGAGCAGTGGTCTCGTAATCTGGTGACCCGGGTTCAAAACCAAGACGATGCGCTAGTGCCCTTTGGTAAGGCAATGATCCTCATTACCAAGTCCCTTGGAGAGGACTTAAAGCCATCAATCTCCTGGTTGCATTCTTACAAACATACACATGCTTTCTGAGCAGTCAGGTAAAACAAACATAGCAACCCACCTTCAACAATGGAAATTAAAGCCACACTGTACCGGGTACTACTTGTAGCTACTTGCTCCCTCTATATAGAAAACTTCCCCAATCGGTGCCTGTTGGTCCCCCATGATCCTCTTTTTCTTATGATAATTGAGAGGTGAGTTAATGAAATAGCTGCCTGTCAGTGACCTCGCTGGGTGGTCTAATCCCTTCTAACTGAACTAGTACAACTGGCCTTTAAACAACATACACTTCTTCAATTTTGACCTTACAGCGGATACTTTCAAGCAGACCTTCACCACCCTCAAGGACGTCCAGCCCGATGTCCTCTACCCATCCCTCAACTTCAGCGCCTTCAACGCCCGCGTAGAGCCTGCAGGTGACCTCATACCAGTAGGGGTCAAGACACTCTTCCTGTCGATCAATCGCTATGAAAGAAAGAAGAACCTTGTATTGGCGATAGAAGCTATGGGTGAGTGCTTTCTCAAGAGTTTTTTTTTTCTTTCATTTGCAAATTTTTTTTTAGCAGGATTGAAATGATATAGGTCCCGTTAATAGTGTACACTTGTAGCAGCCATGATATTGTGTGCCTTGTTAGCACGACATTTCCCATTTTTTATATGCCCATAAAAAATACAGCACACAAAACTAACGATCTGACATTGGAACTAGTGCTGATTGGAACTCTCCTTATATCTACCCGGTAGATGTTCAACCAAAGTTTAATTTATGTATGAGAAGCAACAAAAGAGCCGTTTTAAAGCTTATCTGTACTAGTTTATAGGAGGGATTAGACCACCCTGCAAGGTCACTGGACAGGTGGTTATCTCATCAACTCAGCTCTCAATTAACATAAGAAAAAGAGGATCATGGGGGACCAATGGTCACTGTTCAGGCATTGTTTGCTATATATAGGTAGCAAGTAGCTACAAGTAGTACAGTAGGCCTTTAAAAGACAGCTTTATTTTTTTTCTTTCCTCAGGTGAATTGAAATCCAGGCTGTCGGAGGATGAATGGCAGAACGTCCACCTCGTCATGGCAGGAGGCTACGACGGACGTGTCACCGAAAACCTGGAGCACTACGAAGAGCTCGTCCAACGTGCTGAGGAACTTAAGCTAACTGATCATGTGACCTTTATCCGTTCCTTCAGCGATGCTCAGAAGCTCACTCTCCTTGATAGCTGCACTTGCCTGCTCTACACTCCATCAAACGAACACTTTGGTATCGTCCCTATAGAAGCCATGTACATGTATCGTCCGGTTATAGCGGTGAATAGCGGGGGTCCGCTAGAAACCATCGCTCATAAACAGACAGGGTTTCTTTGCGAGCCTTCTGCAGCTAGTTTTGCGCCTGCACTGGAGCGTTTCGTGCGGGAGCCAGACCTGAAGAATAGACTAGGAAAAGCAGGGAGAGATAGAGTCATCAACAATTTCTCATTTAGAGCCTTTGGCAATAAGTTAGAGAAATTGGTGAAAAGAGTTCATAGGTTGTAGGTAGATCGTGTAGCGCATTAACAACTACTAAATTATCTACTTTAAATTAAATGTGCTGTTTAAGCTACTATTCAAAATGGCATTTAGTAAATTATTTGTTGCTTAATTAGTGAGTGACTCTTGCAAGGAAACATTTGTCAGAAGGCAGAAAGTAGATACCAATTTCAATTGATGTCCAAGAAATACACATTCCAAAAAATGAAAGCCTTTATGTATTAGATTTAATGCAGCAAGCAAGAAAACACTATGAAATAATCAATGTTACTGTGATGTAATGATTCTTAGAGTGGTATATTGTGGGTATGGTATCAATTGTTCAGGTTTCTATTCCACTTGGAGATGTCTTTATTGGTGTCTCGAATTTCTTAGCACAATAGGCCAGTGTCATATTGTACATTTGAATGCTTAATATGTTTTTACAATTAATTTTAGTTGTTTTAGTTTCATTTTATTTCATTGAAAGATTTATTCTTTCAATGTAACAGCTGGTGCTCAAAATGTCTTATTAATTTATTATAGATTACAAATCTAAGTGGTATTATTGTGGGTAAGAGGTATCAATTGTTCAGGGTTTTATTCCACTTAGCGATTTCTTTATTGGTGTCTCTAATAGGCCAGTGTCATTATCTACATGTAAATTCTTTATATGCTATTACAATTAATTTAAGTCTTTTTGGTTTCATTTTATTTCATTGAAAGATTTATTCTTTCAATGTAGCTGGTGCTTAAAATATCCTAATTATTTGATATAGATGAAATACACATTAACAAATCTAAGTGGTTATAAAGGTTTAATCGTAGACTGACATATTCTTTGAAAAAGTGAAGATTATAAAATTATGAAATCTTGCCTTGTTTCCTGTATTTGTTTGACAGACGCCATAATGCAGTGTAGTCAATGTTATCTTTTAATGTTCAAAAGGATCATTAATGCTCTCAAATGTTTTTCTTAAGAATTTGAAAAGAAGTGCAGTATTAAACCTACCACATCTATCTCCATCAAATTTGTGTAGACTTATACATATGTAGATATGATGATAGACCCAATATACTGCATTGCAACGTCTTCTATAAACCTTCACTAGCTCAATTTATCTTCAAGTAATACTGTAAGAGACAAATACTTTCGAAACAGCAAACATCCAAAAAGTTATATATATACATATAATTCAATTTTGAATAGAATCATATCTGAACATGCCCATATATTTTACTGCCCTTTCTGAAATTATTACTACGTTGTATCTACATGTACCACATATTTCATTAGGTGCCTATTATATGTATTAATGAAAATGTATGCATTGTTTGAAATGCAGCATCTCTCTGTGTATTGCAAAGCAAAGCCGGCTTTAGAAATTGTTTGTATATGTTGCCTATTTATGCTAGAAATATTTTTATAAATTTTGGGTTTTGTATACTTAAACAAATACGCATAAACCATATGAAAATTGCAATTGTTATACAATTCCTGTATTGGAAGTTTTGAACCACGCAATGTTAAAAGAAATTGGTCAAAATGTTTGTCAATGTTGTGTAGTTATTACAGATCTCAATGTTTGTGCAATTATGTATGTAAGTGCTTCTAATGAAGTGATTGTCCCTAAAGCATTATTGATGAAGAGCTAAATAAAATGAAAATGAATTAGGCACTGTTGTTTGAACTCCATCCATCCTTTTGTTTTTCTAGTAACCTGTTCGTTGAATGGTCACTCTGTATGTATGGATAGGGGGAGTGCACTGAAGTATAATTATATACCATACATGAATTTTAATGTGTGAATAATGATGGTTGGAGAGGAGGGATGAAGGGAGTGGGGCGCAAGGGAGAAGGAGGGGGGTAGACCACAACAAAAAAGGGGTGAAACTAGGTATTAGGCATGTACATGTAAATAGGAAGATGTTTTTTTTTTTAATTCAGTTATTGGTCATATTGATATGGATGGAGAGCTAGAAGTCCATCAATTCTTATATTTCTTGCCTTTGTTCACTAATATCAGTTCATTTGAACAGGCTATTGTTGTTAGCCATAATGTTTGTCCCACCAAGCAGCAATTAATGTACCGGTATGCAATTCGCATTCCGGCTATTGAAAAACAGTCTTTAAAAGTTTTATTCATTAAATTTGATTACATTATGAAAAGGGTCTATCGAGGGGAAAGATCTGAAGTGAAAGAGATTTGAGGAAGTACTTGTAGCAGTCTGTTAATTCTGTCTTATTCTTTATTCACTTGATGACCTATTATACAGGTAGCATAATGGAAAAAGAGAGGCAGAGAATGTAGAGAAAAGAGCAGGAATAAATAATGAAAAGAATATGAGAAATGGTAGAAAAAGGATGAAGTTAACAAAGTCTAATATATTAGAAAAACAACAGAATATAACAGAAAAGCAAATCATTCATATTCATATAAAATTATTTATTACAAAATACTGTATTTACATATATACAAAATCAGAGTTAACAAGTGAGACATTAATAAAACGAATGTCAATACAAACCACATTTTCACTATGAATCCTCATTGTGGCAATGAATCCTATATGAATCTGTAAAAGGTAGATATCATTCTAAGTTTGAATGAATTATGTTCTTTTATACTTGTACATGTACATTGTTCCTTGTCTGAAAAAAGGGTCTTTTCTAGTGTCAAATATAAAATTATTTAATTTTAAGAGAGATATGTAACAGGTATCATGCATGTGAAAATGGTGACAACTTGAATGAGAAATAGCAGTACAATTATAATATATTGTTCTTGTATAGCGCATATCACATTATATAACATCTCTCTGCACTTCCAAAGAGCTTTGGAAATTATTACCCTTTAGCTCCGGCAGCTGATATCAGCGCACAGTGCATGTCAAGGAATAATTCTACCAGGTACCCATTTACCTCACCTTGGTCGAGTGTGGCAAATGTAGATTAATGTCTTGCCAAAGGACATTAGTGCTGCTTTGAGACTCAACCGCAGACCTTGTGATCAACATGACATATCCACTCAACCACGACACCTCTACATTGACATTTCTAAGTGGATTTTGGCTTTTCTGCCATTTCAAAATTATTTGCCTCTTACATCAAAGATACTATGTCCCTTTTGCAGCCAACATCAAATTCTGTAGAACTTTGCAGGGATTATGAATATGTTAGGTATGTCCTATCTGTGAAATTTAAACTTGAGCAGTGTCCTAATATTCAAATTATGCAAGGAAACCCGTTTACTTGCTAGACTTCACTGTCAGACACTATTGAGTGACTGACTAGCTTTTTTCATCTTTGGTAATAACATACATAACATGAGCTGTAAAGGGTACATGAGCATTTGTCTACATCAATAACCCACTTCTTGTAATGGCCAAAATTAAACTGATTGAATCTTTGCGCAGCATAAAACGTACGACCATTTGGTACAATTGTCTGAAAAATCAGACTATTACTTACTGGCTCTATAGCTCTTAAGTCGATTCGACAACAAATAGTCGTTATTTTTCCACTTAAAAACATTTTCAAGCCTCCTTTTTTTTAGCGAAGTTCTAAATTAGTGTTGTCTTTCAAATGCCGTTGGAATTTAACCTTTTCATTTTTTGGTCCTGCAAATGGGACATAGTACCCTTAACTTGAAGACAGTGATCAATAATCACTATGCATGTCCATGAACTTGAATTATGATTTTATTTATATTTATTCTCCAAACAGTCAAAATTGAGCTAAGCAATGTATACTTATATAGGTAATTGAAATGTAGTAAACCACTGGTTTTTAATAAAGGAATGGAACTGGCAAAATAGTAACTTTTCTCTATCCATGATTTATTTCAATTATAAAGCATGCATGCAACAGATTCTGAACTGCAATATCCAATTCATGACTATTAAAAAAAGCTACATCTTTTGCCAAGCAATGCTTGGGGGAAGCTATTTCTAGGAGTCTATATTTCCTTGTTTGGCCCAGCTAGGACTCGGTTGGGCTATTTTTTGGAGTCCATCTTCACTTTCTTAGCCCGGCGAGGGCTCTGCTGGGCAATTTCTTGAGTCCTCTGTTGCTTTTTGGGCCTAGCTAATGCTTAAAAGTTGGGCTATTTCTTGGAGTCTGAGTCCATCTTAGCTTTCTTCGCCCAGCTAGGTCTCTCATCATCCTCTTCTTCTTCATCTGATTCATGGAAGATGGGGTTGGGCTGGGTGCTGAGAAGAAAAAAAAATAAGAGGAATTTGAAAGCATGTTGAAATATGTGTCCTATATTCTACTTCTGTGGCAAAGAGAAGAAAAAATATATACAAGCGACTGCCCAATGTGATCTTTGTAGACAGGTGGTCACAAAAGCAGGTTTGACTAATAGTATTACTTGCTTTAGCTGTATTTAATGCAATTCATATCATCACATGGATATTGGCAAGGATAACATGTTTGAAGAATGTAAACCCGATGAAAGATTATATCCGGAAAATGATCACAAAAATTATGGGTTAGATTTAACAATGTAGGAGCCACAGTATTTGATTATATCTTTCATGGTTAATATGAATCACCTAATTATCAAGCAAAGCCACACTACAAACATTGTACTTATTGATTGTTGAACACTCCTATTTTGAAGGAAAAAAAATGCTGTATATACAAAGAGCTCTGCACCTGGTCATGTAATCCCTTGCATATTTGAAAAAAAGGATTCTATTTCAAGCTATCGATTACACACTGTATACTGCTCTGGAGCAATTCCTCTTTTTCTTATCGATAAGGTATTCAGGTCACAGAGTGAATCATATCATTTACTACACTGTAAAACATAAGGCCACAAATAAATTGCTGTATCGAAATCTCATGACTAAAATGGCAAGTTCTCCAAAAACAAACTGTGTAGGCGATATAAATAATATCAATGTAATAATTCTAACAATATGCAGGGAAGAGAGGTGCGCTGTCTATCAGAATTCACTTTTCTACGCATTATATCGTCTAAAACAGGATTGTGACATTGCATGCTCTTCCACATATAACGTAATGTTGAGGGTCACATGACACGTTTTCAGCCAGTAAGAAGCTCACTTAAAAAATTCCCTATTCAATATAACTCACTGTTTATAGGCTGGTGCAATCCACAAAGGTTTCTCTTCAGCATCCTTTGCGTGTCTCAAGATGGCTTCCCTTGCGTCGATGTTAGGATCAACCTTCTTAGTGAGGGCGATCTGGATGGCAACGTAGCGAGATAGGGTGCTACCTCCAGCCGCAATACGACCTCCTTGACCTGAGGGTTGAGAGAGAGAGGGGGAGAGGAGAATGAATAGTAGACGGTTGAAGACGGGTCCTGGGAATAATATATTTTGAAGCATTTGATGGCTTTCATTTTATTACAAATTGAAGTGGGACTGCACTACTTGTAGCAACTTGCGCCCTCTGTATAGCAAACAATGCCAAAGCGGTACCCTTTGGTACCCGTTAGTCCCCCATGATCCCCTTTTTCTTATGTTAATTGAGAGCTGATTTGATGAGATAACCGCCTGTCAGTGACCATGCAGGGAGGTCTAATCCCTCCTGGCCAAACTATAGTGCAGACAAGCTTTAACCCTTACTGTACTGGGCTATTTTGAGCACCTCCTGACTGGG